CGGGTCTATTTCCACTCCTGCAGCTGAAATAACATGTCCCAAAAACTCCAGGTGGTCCTGTAAAAACTCACACTTAGATGCTTTGGTCAGTAGGCGGTTCTCACTCAGGATTTTAAAAACTGCTTCGATGTCTTGTAAGTGCTGTGCTCTGTCAGGGCTGTAAATCAGTATGTCGTCCAGATAAACGATGACGCACTTATCTAAAAGTGGGCGGAATGCTTCGTTCATGGTCATTTGGAAAATGGCGGGGGCGTTGGTCAGTCCGAATGGCATGACGGTGTATTCGAAGGATCCGGAGCGTGTTCGGAATGCGGTTTTAGGGCAGTCGGGTGGGTTGACGCGGATTTGGTGGTAGCCTCCTCGGAGGTCGATTTTCGAGAAAACCCGGGCTGTGCGCAGTTGGTCGATCAGTTCGTCGGCTCGTGGAATGGGGTAACGGGATTTGATGGTAACCCTGTTCAGTGCCCTGTAGTCGATGCACATGCGAAAACCCCCGTCCTTTTTCGGTGTGAACAGTATTGGTGCGGCGAAGGGCGACGAGCTAGGGCGAATGAATTCTTTCTCGAGCAGGTAATCGAGCTGCTTCCTTAGTTCGTCTAGTTCGGGTTGGGTCAGTCTGAACTGTCGCTGTACTATTGGCTGTGCCCCCGGTTCCAGTTCTATCCTGTGATCGTGCGGTCGCTGAGGTGGCAGTCCCGTCGGTAAGTCATCCGGGAAAATGTCACTGTATCGTGTTAACAGTGCTGCCAGATCACTCGGTACGTCGGTCAGCAGTTTCTGTAAATCCCCTCCCTTGTCTGCTGCCTCGGCTTCCCGAATGTCAACCGCGTACACGTCAGCTCCGGCCGCTACAGCGCGTTTCATCGTGATCGCATTGACACGCACCGACGAAGACCCAGGCGAGCCCCAGCGAGGTAAGGCGATGTTGTTACCGTTCACTCGCACGGTGCAGTCACCCGTCGTCCAGTCAATTCGCGGATTGTGTCGTCGCAGCCAATCACGCCCGAGTAAAATGTCGGTTCCATCGAGGGTCGTTGCGAGCATTTCCTGGCTAAACGTGAAGTTACCCCCGCATCGAATCCGAACTCGGTCTACGCGTTCCCGTATTGCCAGCGGCGTGCCGTCTACCAGTCGTGCGTCGATCTCAGGTAAGCATCTGTCCAGTGGCAGTCGCAGTTTTCGTGCCGTAGCAGTGTTAATGAGGCTGTGGCTGGCTTCCCCATCTACGAAGATTTTAACTAAGTCCGTCCCAATTTTCCCACTGAGTAGTATAGGGCTGTCTACCGCGGTACCCTCCTTATTCGGCCGGGTGTGGTCGATTGCGTGAACCGGCACAATCACTCGGTGAGGGTCGGTTGGGTCGGGCGAGCGGCGTGACCTGTCAGTAGAGGGCCCGTCTGCTACTGACTTCCAGCGTTTCCCTGCTGCTTGGTCTGTGTCTGCTGCTCAGCTTCCCCCTTTCCCTTAGCGTTTTCCGGGCATTCGCTCTTGCGATGTCCCGGCCGATTGAACGCAAAGCAGCGCCCTTTGAACGGTGCGGCAGCGGCATTTGCGGCGACGGCGCGTATCGTGGCGCTTTCGTTCGTCCCACGAGGCCGATGTCCCCAGTTGTTGTTTCCGTAGGACCCCGGTCTCGGTCGGCGAAAGAAGTCGAGCTTCTCCGCCATAGCGAGAATTTCCTGAAATTCGGTGACGCCGCGAAGCTGGATTTCCTGAGCGATGTCGTGCTTCAAGCCGCCGATGTAGCGGTCGATGCGCTCGCTCTCATGCATGAGCCCACCTGTTCGCATAGCGCCAGAAATCCGCTCGTGTAGTCCTGGACGGAACCGAGTTGGCGCCAAGTGCGGAGCTTCAGTCGCGCCGCGATCGAAGCCGCAATTGGCTCAAATCGAGCGCGCAAACCTGCGCACCACGCGTCCCACGTGCGATACTGGGGCACCTCCACGAAATACGACGGCGCCCAGGGTCCGGTTTGTCCTTCCCGTGTCGGTAGTGTCGCGTAGTCTGTCGGCTTCGTGACGATGACGCGCCACCAGTCCATGGCGGGTCCTCGCAGCAGCGACACGGCGTATCGAATCTTCGCCGAGTCCTCCGAGACGTAGTTGGCGTCGAAGAAGACATTCATTGTGAACAACCACGCCTGAACGGTAGGACCACCCCGTTGACTCGGGTCAAAGCATGGCGGGCGCTGCGGCTTCAGCGGCATCGGTGACGGCAGTCCCGAATCGTGGGTTGGTGCCGAAATCGTGACGCGAGGCTGACTTGGGGCCGCATGCGTCGCTCTGGGGTGTGTCGTGCCGTGGTCGTCGTCTCCGTCGGGGCGGACGACGCCATCACTGGCCGCGCTCACGGGTTGCCCCACACTCCCGTGTTGTGATGTTGAGGGTGCAGGTTGAATCGGAGTGCCAGGTGCTTGAGATTGTGCTTGTTGTGCCCTCATGAGGTCATTTTGCAGCGATGAGCGTTCTGCCGTTAATGCCGCGATTTCCTCGGAGCTTTCGTGCAGCTGTCGCAGCAGATCGTTCAGACGCTCCTGCGTGAGGGTGGTGACGTCGATATTTTCAGCCATGACGAAGGGCGTCGGCTCGTCTTAGTCTAGGCGCAGTCGTGGCTGCACGCGTTTACGAGAGAACGCGAGGACAGCGGCTCCTAGGGGCTAAGGTGCGTGAGTCCCTTCGAGTGAAAAATCAAAAGTTGATTTCCTGGTGTGCGGAGATGCGCGGTCCGAAAGAAAGGGGCTCTGATAACCAAGTGTTACGGGTGCAATGAATCGAAGTAGCGAGAATTGCACTAAGGTGTCAAACGAGTACCAAATGTGAGCGAAGGCATGAGCGAACATTTATACGCGAAACATGCAAGACGGTAACGCGGTGCGTGCGAGCTTGCTAGTGCTACGCTGGAGCGAGGCTCGGGCTAGTCCCGAAGCGTAGGCCGATACGGCCATGCCAGCAGTGCGAGGTTTGGCAAAACAGTGCGCGCGAAGTCGGCGAAGTTCCGTTAGCAGTAACGGGCGAACAATCGGCTGTTGCTGTACGCGATGTAGTCGGCTCCGTAAGGAATGCCGAGAAAATTCCTTACAACTTCATTGTTTTCTTCACAACTGAGCGCCCTTATCATATCCACTTCAATCCTTCAGTTATAACAGCATACACCACCAACATAGAAATACTACAGTGATATGATACTAAGTGTGCATGCAGTTATATAAGAATGTATATTTCAATAGTTGCACATATCAACATTTTGTTCATCCACGTCAGTTGCACTCGTACATGTTGATGCTGTAATATATTGTTCGATCATACCATCCGTCATATTATGTCTTCAACATAGAATGTTTGTTATTGTTTTCACGTTTTGATGTACGTAATTCTTGCAAATGTTTTTTTTGCCTTCTCTTGAAATATTTGCTCCAAAAATGCTTTGAAAAACACTCTTTAATGATATTCCCAAATAGTGAAACCGGTTATATAGGGTTGCTATGCACCTAAAAAAAGTGCATTTATTGTAGGATGTGGTCTATGATGTGGCCTAATTGTTTTATCCAGATTGTGTAAAATAGATGAATTGTATGCTACTTAGCGGTTTGTGCCCTGTCAGACTTGCCAGAACACCCATGTTCATCTGAACCAGTCCATCTCTGCCCGACAGGTGGCGCCGTGCTGTCTAACCCAGGTCAATCGCGTGCGACACACCTGACTGACATCCCCGCCGTATGCGAAGAGGGCGCGAGGCTTTAGCTCGACTCGGCGACAACGCGTGTGACGCTGAGCCCAACCTCGCCGATTGGCCGAGGCCCCCTGCGACAAAGCCCGCTGCGCACATTCCCGCCGTGATGACCGAGACTATTCGCGCGCCTCGGCTGGAAATTGGAATTGAGACAGACAGCAGTACCCGCCCACCAACCTAGCCACCGAAACTGCGTGCATTTCAGGCAGAGAGTGAGGGCAGAGAGGGGTGGAGCGGAGTGGAGATAGGCAGGCGGGGAGGAGAGTTTCTAAGAAGCCCGCCGATGAAATTCTATCAATCCCATGGCGAGAAAGCTAAATGCGTAACACATTCACTCTGGCCAGCTCCTGCCACGTCAACCACCCGTGGGCTTGCTGTCCCTTATCTGCCGGTGTTCTCAGCGCTCTCCCCAAGCCTTAGCGCAGCGCAGAGGATGTAATGTGTCGCTTAGGGTGACTGCAGTCACCGACACAGCTGCAGTCACAGCGACGGCGCGAGCAGATCTTAGGTATTGTACGACCTCTCGTGGCAATTGCCTAGCTCTCGTAGGGGATGCTAGCATTGCTGTGCGATTTCCTCTCGTTCCGTTCTTCTCTCTCCATTCATCGCCACAGCGCTCGTCCTATGCTTTTCCTCGCTCGCCCAAATACGCTCGTCTCTCTTAGCCCGCCTACATCCTGCCATCATCGCAGGCAGCCCGTCTAGCCCGAGAGAATAACGTGTGACTCCGTCCCCTGCGGCTCTAAGAACCGCACGCTCTTGCAGAACCTAATTGGTGTTTGTATGTACTGAAGCAGGCACTGCCAGTGGGTCGAGTAGAAGGTGCACAACCGAACATTTGACTCGTAACTAGTCGCATTGACGAAGACACCCACGTTGCCTTTCACGCGCTATTCTTTAGTAATAGCTTCGAGCCCGCGGTGCTGATAGAGATTACCCGCGGTACCCAAATGACTTGGGCCGTCGCGGCTCGATGACGAGCTGAAGGGTTTCAAGGCGCCTCAATACCAGAGTGCGGAGGGAGATTATATTTTGCGGCAGCCGACACCTCCATTTCCCAACCACACCATGCAACTGAACAGACACCGTGGTGTCGATCGCAGAAGTGTGTGACTCGAGGCCTCGCTGCCGCACCAGAAGTAGGAGACAATATACGGATGCTTTGTGAAACTGCCCGTTTGCCATATTGGAAGCTCTAGAAAATTCACCGGCGGGACGCAAGCTAGCCGTTGGGAAAGGTTTTTGCAGCGTTGTGACAACAGGCAGGGACGATGCTACAGGGTGACTGTATCGAGCGGCAGCCGGACCACATCGTGGTGGCGGTGACTCTATCGGAGGAAGGCAGAGGGCTCATCCAATGGACGATCAGCCGATGCCAGCCGGGTGACGTCATCTACGTCCTCCACGTCATCGTGCCGCCCACCGACGGTAGGTGCCCCTTACAACATAGCAGTGCAACCATAATATGTGCCACTAACGTATGGCAAAACACCCGCGCTCGTGCCTTTCGACCGTTCCGCGCGCTGCGCACATCTGCTACCGTTAATTGTGCTTCCTTCATGACTGCCTACCTGCTTCTGAATTCGTCGTTTTTGCTTGTAGGTGTACATATTACCGCCCGCCCAATTGCACAGACTCTCGACGGCGCGATCAATCTGAGCGCACCGCCCTGACTTGGGCGGAAACCCTTCATTTGCCAGCCGTCTCTCCGCATCTCATTTCTGACTCGCACTTTCTCTTTTCCCCGCTTCCTCCCGCTCCCCTTCCCCTTTTCCTCGCCTCCCCTGCCGGCGCATTCCGCCAGGCGCGCGCCCGCCGCGGTTGGAGGAGATGCGCGAGGACCAGCGGCGGAAGCTGGAGATCTTCTCCGCGCTGCTGTGGGGCTTCGAGGCGCTCTGCGACGAGAAGAAGGTGCGTACGCGTTATAGCGTATTCCGAGACTGCACTGCAAAAACGAGCGGTATCAGTGCGCGGCGCGTGGGAGCAGCAAGCGATTCTATTCCTCACAATGTCCCCTCCCCTTCCCGTCCCCTTCCCCCTCACCTTCCCGTCCCCCTCCCCCTCCCATTCCTCGTCCCTCTCTCCCTCCCCTTCCTTGTCCCTCTCCCCCTCCCCTTCGTTGTCCCCCTTCCCCCTCCCATTCCCGTCCCCCTCTCCCTCCCCTTCTCCTCCCCCTCCACTTCCCCTGCCGTCCCCGCCCTCAAAGGTGGCGGCGTCGGTGCGCGTGGTGCACGGCGCGTGCGAGGAGCAGGCGGTGGCGGACGAGGCGAGACTGCTGGGGGCGACGCGGGTCGTCGTGCACAAGGACGGGTGAGTGAACGAAGAGTGTGCGAGGAAGGAAAGGGTGGGGGTGCGCGGCGGAGGAAAGGACGAGGGAGGAGAGGAGCGTTGGGGGTGCCATCTCCCTCTCACTCGAGAGCACTTTTGTTTTGAGGCGTTGCTTTTGCTGCTCTCAATTACCGCTACCACTGCCACCCGCCGCTTCGCCCCTCGCCCCTCACCGCTCCACTAACGTCCGCTCTCCCCAATCCCTTTTCCCCCCTGCCCATCCGCCCCTCTCCCTGCTTCCTTACCGTGCGCGCGCTCGCGCTCCGCTTTCCGCCCTCCCCGTGGTCTTCGCAGCATGGGGCGGCGCTTCTCCCCGCGCGCGCTGGAGCAGCGCCTTCCGCCCGCCTGTATGGTGCTCTTTGTCGGCGGTGGACGCCTCGCGCTCGCGAAGCGCGGGAAGGGCGGAGTGGGCGCGGCGGTGGGCGCGGCGGAGGGGAAGAGCGCGGGGAACAGAGCAGCAGGTGAGTACACGGGCAGACTGGTGCATGCGGCTTTCGCCCTCACCGCCGCTCAACTCCTGTCTCTCTCACCAATTCTTTCTCAATTCTCAACTTTCGCTTCTCGTTTCCTCCTCTCACCTGCTTCACACTCCCTCTCATTTTCTCTCTCAATTCCCCCCTCGTGCCCTCAATTTTCATGTGCGCCGGAAGCAGCGGGTGACGCCACGCCCAACGGGCATCGCCCGCTCTACATCCCGCTTATGCGCCTCTTCGGTAGTAGTAGCAAGGACCGGGACGGGTACAGGGACGAGGGAGTCGCTGCCAAGGGCGGTGCCGGTGAGAAGGCGAAGGTCGGCGCGAGGGAGAGCGTGCGGGAGAGGGAGAGGGAGCAGGGAAGGGAGAGGGAGGTGAAGGCGGCAGGCGCTACCTCCTCGTCTTCTGCTCGCTCCTCCAAGCCACACCACGGCGGCAATAGCGGCAGCAGCAGAAGTGCGAGCGGTGCAGGAGCGTCGCCGCACCCCACGGCACGCAGTGCCATGCATGCGAGCAGCATGAGCCAGGGGCCATCCATGATGGGCAGCGGCATCAGCCGCAGCGGACCCCTCTCGTACCACCATGCTGCAGCGAGCGGTGCTGGGAGCATGAGCGGCCCGCACGACCGATCAGCACCAGTGGCGGCACATGCAGCAGCGGCGGGGGGGAGTGGGGGAGCGCGCAGGTTGGCGCAGCTGCTGCGGTCCAACTCGCTGACGAGCCTGCGCCAGCACCCCGCCTCGCATAACGCCAAGCCGTCCATTGCTCAGCGCGCACTCTCGCTGCTGCAGGGCGACGTCTCCTGTAAAACCTCCCTCCCCGCTTTCTCTTCCCTCCCTACCTCTCCTGCCTTGTTCTCTCTTCCCTCCCTACCTCTCCTGCCTTGTTCTCTCTTCCCTCCCTACCTCTCCTGCCTTGTTCTCTCTTCCTCTCTCCCCTCTCCTCATATGTCGTCTCCCCTCGACCCCATTTTCTAAAACACCCCCCACATTCGCCCTCTTCCATTGTCACAAACCCCCCACTTCCGCATTCGACCACCTCCCCTGTCGCTCTCCTGGTCTCTCTTCTCCTCACCTCCCCTCCCCTCCCCTCTCCCTTCCCCTCCCCTCGCCTCTCTCCCCCTTCCCAGTCCCCCGCAGGCCATTCGCGCCGGGCAAGGCGCGCAGCGTCTGCAACTCCCCGCGCGCCTCCTCCCCCCACGCGTCCTTCTTCTCCTCCTCCTTCTCCGCCTCCCGCCCCTCCTCCCCCCGCGCATCCCGCCCGTCCTCCCCCCGCTCCTCCGCCTTCAATTCGTTCTTCCCCTCCTCCCCGCGCTCCTCCCGCCCCTCCTCCCCACGCGCCAGCGCAGGCAACCCGCAGTTCTCCCCCTTTGTCTCCCCGCGCGCCACTGCAGCGAATCCCTTCTTCCCCCCCTCCTTCGACCCGTCGTCCCGCGCTGCCGCTACCGACGGCAGGTTGGGGCAGCGACAGCAGGGGCAGCAGCAAGGTGGGGGGCAGCAGCGGCAACGGCAGGGGCAGCAGCAGGAGCAAGGGGGTAGCAGAAGCGCGGAGCACATGCCAAAGTGGCAGCTGCTGCGGTCGTCCATCACAGGCAAACAACAGCCTCAGCAGCAGATGCAGCAGCAGCAGGGGCAGCAGGCGCAGCAGCAGGCGCAACAGCAGCAGCAGCAGCAGCAGCAGCAGCATTTGAGAGACGGGTCACGTTCGTTTGAGTCACAGTCGGCCGCAGTCACGCCCTGGCACATGCGCGTGCAGCGGTCAGCGTCGTTTGCGGGCGTGAGCGCCGTGGCGGCGACCCTGGCGCAGCAGCTGGGGTGGGAGCACGAGGCGGAGGCGGCGGAGGAGGAGGAGGAGCGCAAGGCGCGCGAGCAGGTGCGCAGGGGACGCGAGGTGGCGCAAGGGGAGGAGGGGCGGCGGGGCGAGGGACAGCAGAGTGCGCAGAGCGAACTGAACGCGCGACTGGTGAGGCTGCAGCAGCAGCAGCAGCAGATGGAGCAGGGTGGGAGAGGGATGAGAGGAGGGGAAGGGAAGGTGAGCTTCTATGTGGGTCAAGGGCAACAGGAGGAAGCGATGGCAAGAGCTGATATAGCCAGCGCTGCTCGCGATGCTGCCATTGCTGACCGCACTGAAGGCGTTGACTGCATTGACTGGGCCAACCGCTGTGACGTGGAAACTGCGTCCTCCTCTTCCTCTTCCTCTGACGATTCGTCTGAGCGCGGGGATGCCAATAACGCGGATGGGCTGGATGATGCGATACAGGGTACAGTGCACCACTGTAGCTTCCCGTCTATGGACGCGTCAGATGCCGCCCAGCCTGTCCTGGAGTCGTTCTGCTCTGACATCTCTGCCACGTCAGCTGCAACGTCATCCTCCGCGTTTTCGTCTCGTTCAGGAACGTCCTCGCATTGGACGGACATCCCCAGCAGCGGCTCCCTCTCAACCCCAGCCTGCCACGTGTCACAGCAATGCCACCCTGGCAGCAAAGCCAACAACAACAGCAGCAGCATCAGAAAGAGCAGAGGCAGCGGCTATCTCTCAGATTCGGCCCTGATTCCCAGAACACCTGGTGCTAAGCTAGCAGCACCTGAAAAATCACCTGAAGCAGCACCTGAAACACCTGGAACAGCAGGAGTCAGAGAATCAAGGTTGAATGCGGCACGTTCACAAGGGAGGGAGAACTTAGGCGGGCGCAGAGCAGCCTTGGAACCTGTTTGTGGTAACCAGATGCGTGCCGCAGGGCGAGGAGGGGAGGAGGCGAGGGGTGAAGGGAACTCAGGGCAGGAGAATCAAGGGCACGAGAGAAAGGGGCAGGATGGGAAGGGGCATGGGTTGGTGGGGGAGGCAGTGGCGCGGGAGAGGGCGGAGGCAGGGGAGGGTAAGGAGGACGCCAGGTGTCCTGTTCTGGTTGGCCGGTTCCCCGTGCACAGGCCACGGCAGAGGGCGGGCGTGGGCGGCACAATGGGCGGCTCAGTGGGCGGGTGGAGTGGCGGGTCGGGGCGGCGACTCTCGGTGCTGAATAAGACGAGGGACCCCCAGAGCGTGAGGCGCATAGCGTCTGAGAGTGACAGGGATAGGGCGAGGGATTTCGGGAGAGTGAGGAGAGAAGGGAGTGGGATTGGGAGTGAGAGGGGCATGTGTGCGCCTGATGCGTGTTTGTTAGCTGATGGTGGGAGTGAGGGTGGTGTGAGCGAGAGGGAGGGCGGTGAGAGTGCGAGGGACAGGGAGTGGGGGTTTGTGGTGCGAGCAGCAGGAGTGGGGGAGACGGGCAGGGAGAGGGAGGATGCAGGGGAGAGTGCTGAAGAGGTGAGTGCGGACGGGGAGGATGAGGAGGAGACCGAGAGGGAAGATGGAAGGGAGGCAGATGCGGGAGAAGAAGTGAGTGAGAGGAGGAGTAGCGAGGCGAGGAGTGAAGGGAGAGAAGTGCGGGAGACGAGCAGCGGGGAGGGAGAGGGAGGGAGGCAGGCAGAAGGTAGCAGGGAGGTGGAGAGCGGTGCAGAGGGAGGGGTGGACCCACTGCCGTGTGTACGACAGCAGTCGCTGCCTGTGAGCCGCAGCTGCACCTCGCTGCTGCCCTCCACGCGCTACTTCTCCGACGGCGGCGAGCAGGCGCGCAGGGACGGCAGGAGGGACGTGCCTGCCATGCCACAGAGAGCAGCATTAGGAGCGGACGCGGGGTTGCATGGAGGGGACGGGTGGAGTGGTGCAGGACTGGGCAGGAGTAGCAGTGGTGGCGGCGGTGGCGTTGCTGCACGTGCAGCCCTGGCGTCACCGTCCCCTGGCGTGCGGCGGAGCAACTCGTTCACTCAGGGAGCCAGGCTCACAACTGCAGGGGCAGCGGCAGCACAGGCGGCAGCAGGGGTGGAAGCAGTGGGGGCGGTGGGCGCGGGTGGGGCGGTGGGCGCGGGTGGGGCGGGAGCGTGGGAGGGGCCGTGGCGGAAGCTGCAGTGGTGCCAGGTGGAGCAGGCGACTGATGGGTTCGCCACGAGTGAGTGCCGCGGCGGGGAGGGGAGGGAAGGGAGAGGGTGATTTGGTGATGGTGTGATGTTTGCGACTGTGTGTGGGGGAGGGGACGTCATGTGTGTGTGTGGGGGGGGTTGTGGGAGGGGTGGGGTTTCATGTGTGTGCGTGTGTGCACGCGCGCACGTGCGTTCATGTGCATGTGCGTGTATGCGTGTGTGTGAGTGCGTGTGTGTGAGTGCGTGTGTGTGAGTGCGTGTGTGTGAGTGCGTGTGTGTGAGTGCGTGTGTGTGAGTGCGTGTGTGTGCGTGCGTGTGTGTGCGTGCGTGTGTGTGCGTGCGTGTGTGTGCGTGCGTGTGTGTGCATGTGCATGTGTGTGCATGTGTGTGTGTGTGTACATGCGTCCGGGGCAGTGGGAAGGGAGGACGCGCATGAGTGCACGCATGATGTCATGTCATGTCAGTCTGTTTGAGTCATTCCTGGTCACGAGTGCACAAGGAGAATATGCTTACCGAACCACACCGATCCCTCAAAATCCCTCACAACCCATCCGCCCCTCCTTTCCCCATCAACCATTTGCTCAGGGAACCTTCTGGGAACGTGCGGGGGCTACAGCCGGGTGTATCAAGGGCGGCTGCCCGGCGGGCAGCAGATAGCTGTGAGGCGCGAGATGCTCTCCTGCGCCACCACTGCTGATGGTGGTGATGCTGGTTGCGGTGGTGCTGGTGGGGTTATTGCTGCTTATGGTGCCAGGCAAGGGGGGAGACCACGTGGCGGTGTGCCATTGGCTGTGGAACGCGGGCTGAGCAGCGAGGTGGCGGCTGAGCTGGCGGTGCTGGCGACGCTGAGTCACCGCCACGTGGCACAGCTGGTGGGGGTGTGTGCGGAGAGGAGGGACGAGGTGGCACTGGTGTTTGAGCACATGGAAGGGGGCACCCTTGAGTCTGCGCTGAGAGGGAACTCCGGTTCTGCTGCGGCTGCGGCTGCGGCTGGTAACCCTGGTACGCACTACTGGTGTTTGATGCATGGAGGAGGGATTTTTGTAGACTGCTCTCAGAGGGGGATTCCGATTCTTCTACTAGTAACCCTGGTATGCACTGCTGCTGTTTGAGCTCATGCTCACATGTATTCGCCTCTGCTCTTTGTGCTTCAGTGCCTTCTCCATTCATGCTGCCTCTCTGTGTTGGTATGCTGGTAACGCCAGTGCGATCCGTTTAAAGCCCACCCTCCACCCTCTCCTTCCCTTTCCTCTTTTCCACCGGTTCCCCCTTTCCCCCCTACCTGCTCCTCTTCCCCACTCGTGCCTTGGGCCTCCAATCAACCCCCTCTTCCCCGCAATCCTCTCTCAGGCTCTCTCCCGTGGACTGTGCGGCCAATAGGAGCACGCCAGCTGGCACTGGCACTGCACTACCTGCACGAGGGGGCGCCCAGGGCAGTGGTGCATCGGAACGTGCGGGCGGCGAGTGTGATGCTAACGAGGGGCGGCGAGGTGAAGGTGAGTGCTCTTTCATCATTTCTCTCGCTTCCGTCACAATCAGCAGCAGCACTCCACCTTCGCTTGTTTCTTCCGCCTCTCATTCGCCCACCTTTTCAACCGCCCCTCTTCCCAGTCTTGGCCATACAGTCCACTCCACCAGCCCTCAAAGTCCACGTTGCCTCCCGTTGCTCCACTCCTTTTCAAAGCGCACCTCACTCCTCCTCTTCCTCACCATCCTCTCCCCATCCCTATCCCGTTTCCCCTCGCCCCTCGCCCCACTTGCCCCTCGTGCCTCACCAGCTATCGGAGTTTGGGTTGGCTCTCTTCGCTGCTAACAACGATGCGCCCATGCAAGTTCCGCTTGCTGGCACGTTCGGGTGAGTGAAATACAATAAACTTGAGTGGGCGAGGTCTGTGCAGACCCCACATACCTAGCGCCCCCCCACATACCCCCACCCCCCCACTCTTCCCATCCCCACATACCTAGCGCCCGAGTACCTGGCCAAAGGGCAGTGAGCACTGCCACGGTCGTGTTTGCGCCCACCCCTTCATCCTCCCCCTCATCCACCCCTTCATCCTCCCCCTCATCCACCCCTTCATCCTCCCCCTCATCCTCCCCTTCATCCTCCCCCTCATCCACCCCTTCATCCTCCCCCTCATCCACCCCTTCATCCTCCCCCTCATCCTCCCCCTCATCCACCCCTTCATCCTCCCCCTCATCCTCCCCCTCATCCTCCCCCTCATCCTCCCCTTCATCCTCCCCCTCATCCACCCCTTCATCCTCCCCCTCATCCTCCCCCTCATCCTCCCCTTCATCCTCCCCCTCATCCTCCCCTTCATCCTCCCCCTCATCCTCCCCTTCATCCTCCCCCTCATCCTCCCCTTCATCCTCCCCCTCATCCTCCCCTTCATCCTCCCCCTCATCCTCCCCTTCATCCTCCCCCTCATCCACCCCTTCATCCTCCCCCTCATCCACCCCTTCATCCTCCCCCTCATCCACCCCTTCATCCTCCCCCTCATCCACCCCTTCATCCTCCCCCTCATCCACCCCTTCATCCTCCCCCTCATCCACCCCTTCATCCTCCCCCTCATCCACCCCTTCATCCTCCCCCTCATCCACCCCTTCATCCTCCCCCTCATCCACCCCTTCATCCTCCCCCTCATCCACCCCTTCATCCTCCCCCTCATCCACCCCTTCATCCTCCCCCTCATCCACCCCTTCATCCTCCCCCTCATCCACCCCTTCATCCTCCCCCTCATCCACCCCTTCATCCTCCCCCTCATCCACCCCTTCATCCTCCCCCTCATCCACCCCTTCATCCTCCCCCTCATCCACCCCTTCATCCTCCCCCTCATCCACCCCTTCATCCTCCCCCTCATCCACCCCTTCATCCTCCCCCTCATCCACCCCTTCATCCTCCCCCTCATCCACCCCTTCATCCTCCCCCTCATCCACCCCTTCATCCACCCCTTCATCCTCCCCTTCATCCTCCCCCTCATCCACCCCTTCATCCTCCCCTTCATCCACCCCTTCATCCTCCCCCTCATCCACCCTTTCATCCTCCCCCTCATCCACCCCTTCATCCTCCCCCTCATCCACCCCTTCATCCTCCCCCTCATCCACCCCTTCATCCTCCCCCTCATCCACCCCTTCATCCTCCCCCTCATCCACCCCTTCATCCTCCCCCTCATCCTCCCCTTCATCCTCCCCCTCATCCACCCCTTCATCCTCCCCCTCATCCACCCCTTCATCCTCCCCCTCATCCTCCCCCTCATCCACCCCTTCATCCTCCCCCTCATCCTCCCCCTCATCCTCCCCCTCATCCTCCCCTTCATCCTCCCCCTCATCCACCCCTTCATCCTCCCCCTCATCCTCCCCCTCATCCTCCCCTTCATCCTCCCCCTCATCCTCCCCTTCATCCTCCCCCTCATCCTCCCCTTCATCCTCCCCCTCATCCTCCCCTTCATCCTCCCCCTCATCCTCCCCTTCATCCTCCCCCTCATCCTCCCCTTCATCCTCCCCCTCATCCACCCCTTCATCCTCCCCCTCATCCACCCCTTCATCCTCCCCCTCATCCACCCCTTCATCCTCCCCCTCATCCACCCCTTCATCCTCCCCCTCATCCACCCCTTCATCCTCCCCCTCATCCACCCCTTCATCCTCCCCCTCATCCACCCCTTCATCCTCCCCCTCATCCACCCCTTCATCCTCCCCCTCATCCACCCCTTCATCCTCCCCCTCATCCACCCCTTCATCCTCCCCCTCATCCACCCCTTCATCCTCCCCCTCATCCACCCCTTCATCCTCCCCCTCATCCACCCCTTCATCCTCCCCCTCATCCACCCCTTCATCCTCCCTCTCATCCACCCCTTCATCCTCCCCTTCATCCACCCCTTCATCCTCCCCCTCATCCACCCCTTCATCCTCCCCCTCATCCACCCCTTCATCCTCCCCCTCATCCACCCCTTCATCCTCCCCCTCATCCACCCCTTCATCCTCCCCCTCATCCACCCCTTCATCCTCCCCCTCATCCACCCCTTCATCCTCCCCCTCATCCACCCCTTCATCCTCCCCCTCATCCACCCCTTCATCCTCCCCCTCATCCACCCCTTCATCCTCCCCCTCATCCACCCCTTCATCCTCCCCCTCATCCACCCCTTCATCCTCCCCCTCATCCACCCCTTCATCCTCCCCCCCTCATCCACCCCTTCATCCTCCCCCTCATCCACCCCTTCATCCTCCCCCTCATCCACCCCTTCATCCTCCCCCTCATCCACCCCTTCATCCTCCCCCTCATCCACCCCTTCATCCACCCCTTCATCCTCCCCTTCATCCTCCCCCTCATCCACCCCTTCATCCTCCCCTTCATCCACCCCTTCATCCTCCCCCTCATCCACCCCTTCATCCTCCCCCTCATCCACCCCTTCATCCTCCCCCTCATCCACCCCTTCATCCTCCCCCTCATCCACCCCTTCATCCTCCCCCTCATCCACCCCTTCATCCTCCCCCTCATCCACCCCTTCATCCTCCCCTTCATCCACCCCTTCATCCTCCCCCTCATCCACCCCTTCATCCTCCCCCTCATCCACCCCTTCATCCTCCCCCTCATCCACCCCTTCATCCTCCCCCTCATCCACCCCTTCATCCTCCCCCTCATCCACCCCTTCATCCTCCCCCTCATCCACCCCTTCATCCTCCCCCTCATCCACCCCTTCATCCTCCCCCTCATCCACCCCTTCATCCTCCCCCTCATCCACCCCTTCATCCTCCCCCTCATCCACCCCTTCATCCTCCCCCTCATCCACCCCTTCATCCTCCCCCTCATCCACCCCTTCATCCTCCCCCTCATCCACCCCTTCATCCTCCCCCTCATCCACCCCTTCATCCTCCCCCTCATCCACCCCTTCATCCTCCCCCTCATCCACCCCTTCATCCTCCCCCTCATCCACCCCTTCATCCTCCCCTCATCCACCCCTTCATCCTCCCCCTCATCCACCCCTTCATCCTCCCCCTCATCCACCCCTTCATCCTCCCCCTCATCCACCCCTTCATCCTCCCCCTCATCCACCCCTTCATCCTCCCCCTCATCCACCCCTTCATCCTCCCCCTCATCCACCCCTTCATCCTCCCCCTCATCCACCCCTTCATCCTCCCCCTCATCCACCCCTTCATCCTCCCCCTCATCCACCCCTTCATCCTCCCCCTCATCCACCCCTTCATCCTCCCCCTCATCCACCCCTTCATCCTCCCCCTCATCCACCCCTTCATCCTCCCCCTCATCCACCCCTTCATCCTCCCCCTCATCCACCCCTTCATCCTCCCCCTCATCCACCCCTTCATCCTCCCCCTCATCCACCCCTTCATCCTCCCCCTCATCCACCCCTTCATCCTCCCCCTCATCCACCCCTTCATCCTCCCCCTCATCCACCCCTTCATCCTCCCCCTCATCCACCCCTTCATCCTCCCCCTCATCCACCCCTTCATCCTCCCCTCATCCACCCCTTCATCCTCCCCTCACCCCTTCATCCACCCCTTCATCCTCCCCTTCATCCTCCCCCTCATCCACCCCTTCATCCTCCCCTTCATCCACCCCTTCATCCTCCCCCTCATCCACCCCTTCATCCTCCCCCTCATCCACCCCTTCATCCTCCCCCTCATCCACCCCTTCATCCTCCCCCTCATCCACCCCTTCATCCTCCCCCTCATCCACCCCTTCATCCACCCCTTCATCCACCCCTTCATCCTCCCCCTCATCCACCCCTTCATCCTCCCCCTCATCCACCCCTTCATCCTCCCCCTCATCCACCCCTTCATCCTCCCCCTCATCCACCCCTTCATCCTCCCCCTCATCCACCCCTTCATCCTCCCCCTCATCCACCCCTTCATCCTCCCCCTCATCCACCCCTTCATCCTCCCCCTCATCCACCCCTTCATCCTCCCCTTCATCCACCCCTTCATCCTCCCCCTCATCCACCCCTTCATCCTCCCCCTCATCCACCCCTTCATCCTCCCCCTCATCCACCCCTTCATCCTCCCCCTCATCCACCCCTTCATCCTCCCCCTCATCCACCCCTTCATCCTCCCCCTCATCCACCCCTTCATCCTCCCCCTCATCCACCCCTTCATCCTCCCCCTCATCCACCGCTTCATCCTCCCCCTCATCCACCCCTTCATCCTCCCCCTCATCCACCCCTTCATCCTCCCCCTCATCCACCCCTTCATCCTCCCCCTCATCCACCCCTTCATCCTCCCCCTCATCCACCCCTTCATCCTCCCCCTCATCCACCCCTTCATCCTCCCCCTCATCCACCCCTTCATCCTCCCCCTCATCCACCCCTTCATCCTCCCCCTCATCCACCCCTTCATCCTCCCCCTCATCCACCCCTTCATCCTCCCCCTCATCCACCCCTTCATCCTCCCCCTCATCCACCCCTTCATCCTCCCCCTCATCCACCCTTTTATCCACCCCTCATCCACCCCTTCATCCTCCCCCTCATCCACCCCTTCATCCTCCCCCTCATCCACCCCTTCATCCTCCCCCTCATCCACCCCTTCATCCTCCCCCTCATCCACCCTTTTATCCACCCCTCATCCACCCCTTCATCCTCCCCCTCATCCACCCCTTCATCCTCCCCCTCATCCACCCCTTCATCCTCCCCCTCATCCACCCCTTCATCCTCCCCCTCATCCACCCCTTCATCCTCCCCCTCATCCACCCTTTTATCCACCCCTTTATTCACCCTGTCTTCGTGCCCTTGGCTGCCCTCCTGTGTCCCCCCCAGCTACCTGGCGCCCGAGTACCTGTCCCACGGGGCAGTGAGCACGCGCACAGACGTGTTTGCATTTGGGGTGGTGCTGCTCGAGCTGCTCTCAGGCCAGCCTGTTGTGGATGATAGCCGGCCCCGCGGGATGCAGTGCCTCGTGCAATGGGTGAGAGTGGGTGGGGTGCTGTCCGGTAGTGCGATGGGGCGGGGTGGGATGGGGTGGCATGAGAAGGCATTGTACTGGATGGTGTGCGTCTGGAAAGACGTGCTAAAGTGTGATTTGGTAAGTCCATGGCATGGCATGGCATGGTGCGTGGCATGGCATGGTGCATGGGATGGTGCCAGGGAGGGAATAGTATTGGGTGGTGTATGATTGTTATTGGGTGGACAGATGCATGTTACCCCACTTTGGGAAGTGAGACAACCAATGGCCCTCTTCCCTGTTCATGACCCTCTTCCCTGTTCATGACCCTCATCCTGCCCATGACCCTCTTCCCTGTTCATGACCCTCATCCTGCCCATGACCCTCTTCCCTGTTCATGACCCTCATCCTGCCCATGACCCTCTTCCCTGTTCATGACCCTCATCCTGCCCATGACCCTCTTCCCTGTTCATGACCCTCATCCTGCCCATGACCCTCTTCCCTGTTCATGACCCTCATCCTGCCCATGACCCTCTTCCCTGTTCATGACCCTCATCCTGCCCATGACCCTCTTCCCTGTTCATGACCCTCATCCTGCCCATGACCCTCTTCCCTGTTCATGACCCTCATCCTGCCCATGACCCTCTTCCCTGTTCATGACCCTCATCCTGCCCATGACCCTCTTCCCTGTTCATGACCCTCATCCTGCCCATGACCCTCTTCCCTGTTCATGACCCTCATCCTGCCCATGACCCTCTTCCCTGTTCATGACCCTCATCCTGCCCATGACCCTCTTCCCTGTTCATGACCCTCATCCTGCCCATGACCCTCTTCCCTGTTCATGACCCTCATCCTGCCCATGACCCTCTTCCCTGTTCATGACCCTCATCCTGCCCATGACCCTCTTCCCTGTTCATGACCCTCATCCTGCCCATGACCCTCTTCCCTGTTCATGACCCTCATCCTGCCCATGACCCTCTTCCCTGTTCATGACCCTCATCCTGCCCATGACCCTCTTCCCTGTTCATGACCCTCATCCTGCCCATGACCCTCTTCCCTGTTCATGACCCTCATCCTGCCCATGACCCTCTTCCCTGTTCATGACCCTCATCCTGCCCATGACCCTCTTCCCTGTTCATGACCCTCATCCTGCCCATGACCCTCTTCCCTGTTCATGACCCTCATCCTGCCCATGACCCTCTTCCCTGTTCATGACCCTCATCCTGCCCATGACCCTCTTCCCTGTTCATGACCCTCATCCTGCCCATGACCCTCTTCCCTGTTCATGACCCTCATCCTGCCCATGACCCTCTTCCCTGTTCATGACCCTCATCCTGCCCATGACCCTCTTCCCTGTTCATGACCCTCATCCTGCCCATGACCCTCTTCCCTGTTCATGACCCTCATCCTGCCCATGACCCTCTTCCCTGTTCATGACCCTCATCCTGCCCATGACCCTCTTCCCTGTTCATGACCCTCATCCTGCCCATGACCCTCTTCCCTGTTCATGACCCTCTTCCCTGTTCATGACCCTCATCCTGCCCATGACCCTCTTCCCTGTTCATGACCCTCATCCTGCCCATGACCCTCTTCCCTGTTCATGACCCTCATCCTGCCCATGACCCTCTTCCCTGTTCATGACCCTCATCCTGCCCATGACCCTCTTCCCTGTTCATCCATCCTGCCTTCTTCATTCAAGCCCAAACAACCCCCCCACGTCTTCCCCAAAGTCCGCTGCTCGCCTTCTCTTCAGCCGCTCGTTCTCACTTTGCCACCCTTGCACTTGCAGCCACGCCTTTCCTCCATTCCTGCATCCCGTCATCCCTTCACCCTTCGTCCTCATATCCCACCTCCAACCTCCCTGCAGGCACGGCCGCGGATAGAAGCGGGCAGGTTGCATGAAGTAGCGGATCCAGCCCTGCAGGGAGGATACCACCCGCACCAGTTCGCCCTGCTCACTCTTCTGTTCCCACCATTGCTCCGCCCCTCCCCGCCCTCCCTGCAGGCTCGGCCGCTGATAGAGGAGGGCAGGCTGCACGAGGTGGCGGATCCCGCCCTGCAGGGAGGTTACCACCCGCACCAGTTCGCCCTGCTCGCCCGCACCGCCCTGCTCTGCACTCACAAGGACCCCTCGCAGCGACCCTCCATGCTGCAGGTACAGCTTTCTCTCTCTCTCTCTCTCTCTCTCTCTCTCTCTCTCTCTCTCTCTCTCTCTCTCTCTCTCTCTCTCTCTCTCTCTCTCTTATTCTCCATATGCTCGCAGCATTCACTTGGAAGAATCCGACTGAACACCCAATTTGCCTGCTGCAGTGCTTGGGTCCTGCCTCTCCTCCGTTCCGCCTCTCCCTCCCATCCTGCCTCTTCTCCATCGCTCCTCTGCATCTCTTCCCCCACACAGTGCACATCCATGGCTCCGACTTTCTCACACAGCCTCCCATGCTCCCATGCCATGCCATGCCATCCCATCACCCCCAACTGCTCTGCTCACCACAGGTGCTCCACCTCATAGACTCGGGCCCTCCTGGCCCTCCTGGTAAAGCGCCCTCGCTCCCACACCCTATGGCCCAGTTACATGTTCAGCCATCCCCCTCTCGCACTTGCTCCATTCTTGTGTAGACCTCGATTCACACACTTGCCCTTGCTATATTCCTTCATGCATTTTCTCTATGTATTCGTTAGGTAATGAACTGCATGCATAGGTTTGCCTTGCTAACTTCCACAAAGGGCAGACTTTATAAGAGTTCCATGGAAGGTTTTGGTGGTGTATGTATATTAATCTCGAGCACATAGAGCTTCGGATGTTGGGCTTTTAGGGGGTGCCAGAATGTAAATTGCAAGAAGTAGCTCTTTTAAAAAGTTAAATAATGTGGTGCGATTTCACATGATGGTCATGACTGTATGCAGCGAGATTTGGGACACCCTTATCGGATGCAAGGAACTAGTGTTGTGGAAGTTTAAGTAATATCAGCGATTCTATTACGGTAATTCAAAAACATGCCAGAAACATTTGACGAGATCAGTGGCTTCGCGGTGCCCGCTTTCTCAGTAACGGAGATGCGCTTCGCATGCCGGTGGACAAAGGATGAATGGCGTCAGGTGGGATATTTGTGTGCTCTAGTGGCGGCGCCCCTGACACGTCCCAGCCCAGACCAGCGAGTTGAGCCGATCGCTGGTGCACTTTTGGCTCAAAAGGCCTAGTGGAAGGATGACGTGGCAGGCTTTGAATTTCGATAAGCCCACCTTGCCCAAAGAAGGATTAACTCGCACATCGAGTGAATGCAGAGGGCTAGGTTTGCGAGTTGACCCTTGCCGCTTGTGTTCCAGATCCAAAACACATTCCAGCCCCAGAGAGGCTTCCCAACTGATCTTGCGCTTCTGTCACTTCGCTTGTGTACCAACTTCTGCTAATTGTTCCAAACCGACTCGCACACACAACCTCGTGGTGGCCACGTATCCTCTCCCCTCCCTCCTACCCCCAACCCAAACCAACCCCTTAATCAGCCACCCAGCTGACTTCTTTTGGCCTCACTTCCCCTCCGCAACGTTCTCCAAACCTCCCAACCCAACCCCCCGAGTCTCGTCCATCGCCCCCCACTCCCATTCCTCCCGTTCATATGCCTGCCTCCCGCCAGTTCAAGCTCTTTTCCTCTCCTCTCAAAAGAGAGGCACAACGATCAGATCGGGCCGCAGCCGCACCTCACGCGCGGGGTTGTGGGTTTCTGTACCCCGACCACAGCGGCCGGCATCTGACGCCATCTGATCGTCATCCTTTCGCGTTACAGTTCGTTTAGTTAGTTATCATTTACTGCCAAAGTCGTTGTGAGGTTTTTCATCACTTTCCAAGGACAGTAGAGTTGAATTTTCTCGCCAATGGCCAACCTCAGACCCGCCGCAGACACGGCCGTGTCAACCGATCGCCATTGGTCCACGTCAGCCTCCCCATCCCTAGACGCGTCAGCGTCAAGCTCTCTCCCAACCCCCTCCACAGCCACTAATAATACAGAAATTCGTCTTCCGTTGTACGCGGCCACGACTCACACCAGCGGTCTGCTAGGCCTGCACCTGCCCACCCCCACTCACGCCGAGCCGCTTCCGGCCAGACGCCGCAAGGAGAGACTGTTTCGCGCGGGCGACCTCGGCGAAACTGCGACGTCGCGAGTGGATTTCGCGAAACGGTCGTTGTCGCAACACGATCAGCAGCAGCCGCAGCAACAGGCTCAACTGCCATGGCAAACTGAAGCGAAAGTTTTCCACCGTCATAGCGCTGGCTCCGCCGTCGCAGTGCATTCTCGTGCGTTCGCGTCTGCGACCGCGGCTGCGACTGCGACTGCGACAGCTTCGACGACAGCGACGCCATCGGGGTCGCCCGGCGTGCTGCGCGGCGACGATGTGGAGTTCGACATCGACTTTCACTTGCACGAGCTGCCGTCCCGCTCGCGACATGCGACGAGTGCGACGGGGGCGCGATATGCTGCGACGGACGTGACGAGCGCGGGCGAGTGGCGGGAGGTGGCGGAGTTGAAGCTTGCGCTGGGCGCGCTCGTGGGACGCGTGACGGCGGAACTGGCGAAAGCGGGGGTGGCGGTCCGATTGGGGAAGAGTGAGGTGAAGGCGGAGCGGAGGGCGGAGCGCAAAGTGCGGCTGAGTCCGGCGGTTAGTCGGCTGGTCAGCGGTGCCGTCGCCGGTGGCGTGTCGCGAACAGGTGCGTGCTGAGGGCAGGGGCGGAAGTGGCAGGGGTTTGGGGGGAACGCGCATGGGGGGGATTGGCGCATGCGGGAGCTAGCGCGTGTTGGGGTGCTCGCATCAGTTTCGTCGTGGCCCGTCGCGACTGGATTGCGCGATTGCTTTCGCGCTCCGCATTCCCCGTGCCCGTCTCCGCTTCCGCAAATCCTGCTATTCTGCGAATCCCCCTTCCGTCCCCATTCCGCCTGTTTCACGTCCCCCACTCCCGTCCTCCCCCTTCCCCTTCGCCCAACCCGCGCGCATCCAACCCACCCCCAAGCCCCCACCCCCACCTCCCCCTCCCCTCCCCTCCTTTCTCCGCTCTCTCCCTCCGCCAGCGACGGCGCCGCTGGAGACGATTCGGACGCACATGATGTGCGGGCGGGGCGGGCTGGCGGCCAATGGGAGCATGACAGCTGTCTTCCAGTGGGTTCTGCGCACGGAGGGGTGGACGGGGCTGTTCCGCGGCAACGCCATCAACGTGCTCCGCGTCGCGCCCAGCAAAGCGATTGAGGTGCGGCGAGGGCGGGAGTGGAGGGGGGGGGGGGAAAGGGGGGAATTAGGGAGGAGGAATGAGGGGAAAATGGGGGGGGGGTGGGAGGGGGATTGAGGGGAATGAGGGGGAAAATAAGGGGGAAGGTGGGGGATTGGGAAGGGAATGCGCGTGGCGGGGAGCAAGGCCATGGCGCCCCCTTTCGCCTGAGAGGGCAGCTCGTTTTCTGCGGCACGCCCCCATGCCCCATGTCACTCCCAACCTCCCTTGGCTTCCCCCTTCACAACCTACCCCCTTCACAACCTACCCCCTTCACAACCTACGCCCTTCACAACCTACCCCCTTCACAACCTACCCCCTTCACAACCTACCCCCTTCACAACCTACCCCCTTCACAACCTACCCCCTTCACAACCTACCCCCCCCCTTCACAACCTACCTACTTCACAACCTACCTACTTCACAACCTACCCCCTTCACAACCTACCCCCTCCACAACCTACCCCCTGTCCCCCGTACCCCTCTCGCCTCCCCTCTCTCACGCTTCGACCTGTTCTTCCACTCACATCCCCCCCTTTCCCCCTCCCCCCATCTTCCGCTCCCCTCTCTCCCCCCCGGCCACCCCACAGATGCTCACGTACGACACAGGCAAGCGCTTCTTGATCCCCAAAGAAGGCTGCCCCTCCATCATTCCGCGCCAGCTGCCCCTCCACGTCTCCATCGCCGGCTCGTCCGCCTCCTGCCCCCTCACCTATCCGCTCGGGTTGCTCCTTCTCTCCATGCTTTCTCATGCCCCTTCTCATGCCTCCCTCCATCTCCCCCCTCCCCCCTTTTCCCTGCTTCCCACCCCACAGATGCTCACATACGACACGGTCAAACGCTTCCTCACTCCCAAAGAAGGCCGCCCCTCCATCATCCCGCGCCAGCTCCCCATCCCCATCTCCTCCATTGCCGGCTCCTCCGCGGGCATCGCGTCGTGCCTGCTCACCTACCCGCTGGAGCTCGTCAAAACGCGCCTGACAGTGAACCCTGACATGTACCGCGGCGTGCTGCACGCGTTCCACCGCATCATCATGGAGCAGGGCGTGGGGGAGCTGTACCGCGGGGTGGCGCCCAGCGTGGTCGGCATGATTCCGTATGCTGGCGCGAATTTCTACGCGTATGACACGCTGTGTACCGCATATAGGAAGGCGCGAGGGCGGGAGGAGATCGAGCCGCTGATGACGCTGGTCATTGGCTCCACTGCTGGGTGCTTTGCGGCTGCTTCGACATTCCCCTTGGAGGTTGCACGGAAACATGTAAGCACGGGGACTTGATGTGGCTCAGGCATTCCACATCCCACTCGATCCGCTTTTCTCCCACCCTCAAATCAAACAACCCGAGCATGCGGGTGCGCAAGCCCTTCTTGCTCTTACCCTCTCTGTCCCCCCGAGGGGCACTCTGCACATGCGTCCATGATCCATGGCAATGCAATGTGGATGGGAGGTGCCAATCTCCATAGGCGTAAAGCTGCCCTGGCTCATGGCTCATGGCTCATGGCTCATGGCTCCTCATCTGCCCTGCCCCTCTCTCCCATGCTAAACCCGGTTCCTTCCTACTTCCTTCCTACTTCCTTCCATGCCAGCCCGTTCCCTCCCTCCTAGAACTGCACGTGCCACCCTCTCTGCGTTCCCCCCACCAATCTCAACTCATCTCCTCCCTTCCCCCATCCCAACTTCCCTCCCATTCATACCCCCTTGCCCTCTGCTGCTGCAGAAGAGTGCAACATGTGGCAGGGTGGCATACACAGGAATGTTGCAGTGCATGAGGAGCATTGTGAGGGAGCAAGGCGTCAAGGGGCTGTACCGTGGGGGGGGTGGTGCCCTCCTGTGTCCACTGTTGATGCTACTAGTCCCTCTCTCCCTCGTCCAAATATTTAGTGTTCTTCTCCCCTCGGGCTGACCATCATCTCCCTTCTCCCACTATTGCAGCTTCAAATGGGGGCAACAGGAGGCAGGGTGGCATACACAGGCATGCTGCAGTGCATGAGGAGCATAGTGAGGGAGCAGGGTGTCAAGGGGCTGTACCGAGGGGTGGCGCCTTTGTGTGCCCTTCGGTGATGCTGCTAGTCTCTCTCTCCCTCCTCTCCGAACTATACACATTGTCCATTCTCTCCCTCTTCCCTCTGTTGCAGCTTCAAATGGGGGCGACGGGCGGCAGGGTGGCATACACAGGCATGCTGCAGTGCATGAGGAGCATAGTGAGGGAGCAGGGAGTCAAGGGGCTGTACCGAGGGGTGGTGCCGTCGTGTGCCAAGATGATGCCTGCTGCTGGCATCTCCTTCATGTGTTATGAGGTGCTCAAACGCGTGCTTATAGAGGATGAAAAGGTACGATAGTTTCATTTTTATTTTTACTATTGGAAAACCGCTGGCTTGATGGCTTTGTTCTTTCGAGTAAGGTTCTGTAGGTTGTGATTAGAGAGGCAGGTGATGGCTCCATCCAACAGTGTTGATGCAAGAAACGTTGGTACTGAATTGAAGGGTTGAATTAGAATCCGTAACAGACTCTGGTACTCTGCTGTTCCTATGCTTACCACATTGTTAAACTGCTGTAATTAAATCAGGTGAACTAGTGAGTGGAGGAAAATAATGCTTCTCCAATGTCCGAAATGTTATTTGTTTGTCTCGAACTACCTACACTTCATCGCTTGTCCCTTCATCTGTTGACGAAGACCCTTTGTTGAAAATCGAGGACGTGGCAATCAATGCGACCACTGTTTCGTCGAAGCAATTCATGCGCCGCTCCACGCCGCTGGTTCGTTCCGCGTCCAGATCCCGACCAAGCCAACGAAGCAGAAGCGGAAGGCCCACAACAAACCACATCTGGCAGTCAAGGTGGAGTGTGATTGGTTGCGTTATCCTCAGTCGTGGCTGGTGGAGGGAGATTGGGGGGAGGTCTTGGAGAGGGTGGTTGCTTATCATCGACGTGAAGTACACCGCAATTTTAGGGGTAGCCCATATGTATCCAAGGGTTGGCACTGATGGTTTCCGCGGTTTTTCGACACGAATTTTTTCACACCGATTTAGAGAATACTTGGCGGCACCAACATTTCTGTCATCAGCTGCTCTGTCTCTGTTGACTCATGGCTGAGGCCACCTCGCCCACCTCAAGGACGAAGTGTTGGAAAAAACAAAAGGAGCGTTTTCGTTGTCTGGACAATAGTTCCGAATGACAAGTGAGTCACCAGCCGAAAGACCCAGACAGCGGAAGGCGATTCAACGGCGGCGGAACGTTTGTGCTTTTGCTGCTGGAAAGGACATGTGTACACCCCCCTCCTCCCTCCTCCTCTCCCCCTTCCCTGCAACAAAGGCCACATGGAAATCTGGCGGCCGCAACAAGAGGATTCGTCGAATTTGGTCAAATCGTGGAGGAATGTGAACTCCAATAGGCAAGATTTCATTCGACCGTCCAATCCCATTCCATCCCATTTTCGTGTGTCGCACCGTACGACACTGTAGATAGAGATGACTTTCCGGAACCAAGGGGGGCAGTTTTCATAAACAAAAAGAAACCACAAAATGTCTTGCTGGCAAGATCGTTCATAAGCTCTGATGAGCACCCACAGATGTCCACAGTACATCTCACACAATACTATTAAACCGCTCCCCGCGCCTACATAATGAGGGACAAATTCCGCCCAACCAGACCCACATGTTCGTTCGAAAACGGAGGTTTCCCGTTATCATCGTTCTGCCGAGCTAGTAGTGCATAAAACACTGACTGAAACCTCTTCAACACTCTTTCCGCACAACCATCCTTTGTTTTCGCGTGCGGCTTCCCAGATGCTCCTCTCGTACCAAATCTCGCATCTCCGCGTTGGTTCCTTCAAACCTGACACTACACGAGCACAGGTAGCAAGACTACACCAACCAAGTCCAGTAGTGGTGTAGGACTGCCATGGCTGCAGCCGTCGCTTTTGATAGTTCTCGCTGCCATGGCGTACGTGAGGCAGCTGTTCTTGCATCTCCATGCCGCCTCGTTACGATGCAGCACAGTGCAGTCCCCGCAATCGACGGCAATGGCAGCATCAAGCACAGTGACAGCTCCGTTAATTTAAGCCTAAGTACCCTACTTACAGCTGACGAGTCCAACGAGCGGGTGTTAAATGCGACGTCATCCGGTGACGACTCGCGTACGTCGCATGTTTCGAGTACTGCGTCCCAAGATACCTTCGAGGCGACTAGCGATGCGACTAGCGTCAGCAGCGATGCGTCTCCTGGCGGGACTTACAATAACGCGTTTCAACTCGACGGGGCTTCTAGCTGTATACACGAAGGAGCGGCTCAAGACCTCCACCGCGAAACGCGCGTTGATTCAGGTGACTTGGCTGAACCACGTGGCAATGAGAATCCCGCAGGCAGCGAGCATTGTGCCTCCCCGTCGCCACGTGGCGATCTTAGCGGAATAGTTCAACCAGCGCCTTCGGCGCATTGCTTACTTGCCGAAACGTCGCTTTGCGAAAACAACAGTCGCGATTGTCACGTAATGAGCGAAGCCAGTCCGTCAGCGGAGGCTTCTGAACTAGCCACGGAGCGCCTTTCGTTAAACACGACTCCAGCCCTTTTAGCACCGTTACGCGAACAACAGCCAGACTGTTTTGCCCCGTTAGAAGCAGACTCGATGTCGTGCATAGGAAATCCCGGCGAGACGGGATGGGAGAGCGTGCGACGCGCGCTGGAGGAGAAAGCGGCCGAGCGGCTCGAGGGGATGCAATCGTCAGAGCACCACGCTATTGGCACGGTGAACTCAATTCGGCGTCTAACGAGCAACTGCGGCGCGGCGGAAATTCTGGAACGGATACAGACGGAAGGGGAGGAGGTGACGGACGAGCAAGACGGCGACGGTGACGACGACGGTGACGGCGGCGCGCGGTGCGAGGCGGCAGGCGGCGCCGATTTACTCGCGCGGCCCGCTGCCGGGGGTTCCGCGCGATGGTGGTCCGCATGGTCGGGGTCCGCGCGCCTCGATGCCGTTCCCGAAACTTCGCGGAACTCTCCGCGCAGCGCGGATGCAGCGCCGCGACATGCCTCCATGCCGCGAACCGACGCGGCCGCGCCCCTACGAGACGCCGTCACTCAGAGTAACCTCCCCGCGCCGCGCGACGACTCCTCCCCGCATCGCGAGCCTTCCACTCCGCGCGGCGGCTGCAGTGTCGGCTGCGGCGGCGGCGGCGCGCGCGTTCGCCCGGCGCGGTGGCAGATGGACGCGTCGCAACTGGTGATTCGCAACTTCGTCGCGCGCGGCTCGTTCGGCACCGTGCATCGCGGGCAGTACAAGGGCCGCGACGTTGCCGTGAAGCTTCTCAACTGGGAGGGAGAAAGCGTGCACGGGGGCGCGCGGGCCGCGGCGGCGGTTGCGGCGGCGGTTGCGGCGGCGGGAAGAATCGTCGGCGCGCGGAATGGCGGAAACGCTGGTGGCGCGGTGGGTGCAGCTGCGGAGGCGGAAGCGGGGGCGGTTGCGGTTGCGCTCGCGGGGGTTGGTAAAAATGCGGGGGAGGCCGTGCGCGGGGAAAAAAATGGCGCGGGGAAGGCTGTTGGGGGGAAGTCCGAGGTGATGGCGGAAAGAAACTCCGCAGATTTGGCGTTTCTGCGGGATGTTTTTGCGCAAGAGGTGCTCGTTTGGAGCAAGCTTCGACATAAGAACATCTGTGAGTTCGTGGGCGCGATCATCGGCGGACAGGAGTCGTACGATCTGACATCGACGGCGGAGGATCACCAGGGGCAGTTGCGCGTGGGCAGCAACTTTTGCTGTTTGGTGTTGGAGTTTCTGCCGGGCGGAACGCTGAAGCAGCTCTTAGCGAAGCAGAGCAAGAAGAAGAAGCGGCTGCCGTTGAAACGCGCGTTGCATCTGGCGTTGCAAGTCGCGGAAGGGTACGTACGTACGCTCGTTCGATCGCACGTGGAGCGTGGATAGGCGCAGGCGCGGCGCGGTATGGGACGAGAGAGAGAAAGCAGAGACTGAAGCGAGCGAGCGTGGTAGGGGTGTTGGGGGGCATGTGAGCGCACGGGCAGACCGTCGCGGGGGGTGACTGAGAATGCACCGCGCGTTTCTAAAGCATTGGTGCAGTTTTTCCCCTTATCGTCGCCATCCCTCTTCTGTTCATATATGCATCGTTCGCTCCTTCTCCCTCTCTCTCCCTCTCTCCGTCGCCCCCTCCTTCCTCGCCGCTCCCCTTCCCTGCCCCCGCGCCCTCCCTCCTGCCCCCATACAGCCTGCGCTACCTGCACGCGCGCAGCATAGTGCACCGCGACCTCAAGACCGACAACCTGCTGCTCGACCAGGCACACAGGTGCGCGCGCATTTCCTCTGCTCCCGCGCGCCCCTCCTGCTCCCACCCTCCTCTCGCTCACCTGCCTCATGTTCACCCGTCCCTCGCCCGCCTGTTTTTGAGTTGACTCAAAATTACACGCGCCTCTCGTTCGCCTGCCCCTTCTCCGTAATTGCCACTCACCCACCCTTTATGTGACCTTATCTAACTTTCGTTCTGCACTGCGCCGGTTGCGTCACCGTCGCCATGCCATGCCACGTCACCATCCGTGCGCAGGGTTGTGAAGATTGCAAACCTTCCGCCCGCCCCACCTTCTGTAACTGCCACGTACCGACCAACCCCTTATGTGACCTCAATTATATTTGCATCCGCACTGTCTCTGTGCGTCACCATCACCATGCCAAGTCACCATCACCATGCCACGTCACCATCACCATGCCACGTCACCATCGGTGCGCAGGGTGGTGAAGATTGCCGACTTCGGCGTGTCGAGGGTGGAGCCGGGGGACCGCTCCATGAAGCGACGCACCGGCACCTTCGGCTACATGGCACCCGAGGTATGATGGGTGCTATGCATGCAAGGTGCATGGTGCCTGAGTTATGCCTTTGTTGGAAGGTGCATGGTGGCCAAGGCAGGTAACGAGGGTATGGTCATCTGAGGCAAGTAATTATGACCACATGGCAGATGTTTCTACGGCATCGTGAGATGCTCATGTGCGGTATCCATTTCTCCTGCCAAGGCTTCAAACCCCATCTCTCCACACCACCCCATCTCCCTCACCCCAGGTGCTCAAGGAGCAGCTGCATGACCACAAGAAGGACATGTACAGGCATTGTGCGCTGGTTATGTGTGGTACCGCATTCTCAACCCCCATCTCTCCACACCACCTCTGCTGCAGGTGCTCAAGGAGCAGCCGTACGACTGCATGGCGGACGTGTACAGCTATGGCATTGTGAGATGGTCACTTGTGGTAACCCGTTCAGAATTCAGTCACCATGTATTTGCATCACTCCATCTCCCTCACGGCAGGTGCTCAAGGAGCAGCCGTACGATCACATGGCGGACGTGTACAGCTACGGCATCGTGCTGTGGGAGATCGTTACCTGTGGCAACCCGTTTCTCTTTGAGGGACTCAAGCCAGAGCAAGTCTGCTGCATGGTCAACCAGGTGAGGGGGAGAAAATCAAGAGAGGGAGGGTAAATTGGTTGAAAGGAGAGGAGAGGAGCGGAATGGGAGTGGGTGGTGGGGACAGGAAATAGCTTGAGGGGAAGAATAATGTTTAAAAGAAAACTTATTTTAACTGGCCTTCGTTACAAGTCAACCCTCACACCATGCCACCCTCACATCCTCCCCTGCACATCCCAGGGTCTGCGTCCAGACATCCCCTCGTCGTGCCCGCCCGCCCTCGCTGACCTCATGCAGCGCTGCTGGCACCACACGCCTGCCCGCCGCCCGGATATGGCCGAGGTGGTGGAGCGGCTCCGCGTCCTCACCTTGCAGTGCTCGCCTGCCATTCCCGCCTGTGCCTGCATGTAGCCTGGTGGAGGTCACTATAAGAAATCTCAAAAGTGCCGCACGGACATGGGGGAGGTGGTGCATTGGTTCTGCGTCCTCACCCTGCAGTATGCATCTGCGATTCCCACCTGTGCCTGCATGTAACTTGGTGGATGCGGGCTTGTGCGTGTGTGCCTCATCATGCAAGCACGGAGTCATTTGGTGTTTTTCTGCTGCCAAGATTTGGAAGGTGTGAATGCCAGACTATCACATATTGTGGTAGGCCGTTTTTCCTGTGTTGATCTGTGGTTTGAGCTTCCCTCACTAGTATACCTTTTGGTGCGGTGAGGTGGCTTGTTGATTTTTGAGGTCCCTTACATGTTTTGTATTTACTATACCCGTTAGCAATGCGTAAGCTCGTTACAAATTCACTCGAAACGAGTAGCAGTAGTGCGGTACTTTGGCTGCAGACTTTCCCGCCAAATCTTCGGGGCCTTCACATGGTTGTTTGCAAAATTGAATCTCCATTTCTCACCACCACTGCCTTGTGATTCAAGATTCACCGTATCTGGCTGAGCTCGTATCGCGAATCGCATCATGGCTGCAACCAGACCTCTTTCTTTGGTTTGGACCAAGTGGGCCCTGCCACCAAACCTAATCCTTACCTCTACTCTACATACCCGCTGCATACAGCAATTCATACCCACTAATTTTCCACACTAGCTCTCTCCATGCATAGTCAGTAAGAGCGTGTCGGGCCCACTACCTTTCCACGCTTTTCCCGCTTCCGCCATCACCTGTCTCTCTCGCCATGTTCGCGCGCAGTCCATCCGCTCGCCCTGATTGGGCGCTGCATGCGCCAAAGCCACCGCTTGCGGGATGCGCGGTGGCGGAGACGAGGAGCGCGCGCGGTAGAGCGGCGTTAATGACGCAGCAGCGGCGCTACTAGATGAAGTAAGAGAGCAGGATTCTTTTTGGTTGGCACGTGGCGCGATTCGACTTCTCAAACGACGCGCAAGCAGCAGCAGAGGAGGAGCAACGCGAGCCGCGTATGCACATATCAACGGCGGCAAGATTCGATGGAGCCAGGATCGCCGCGCTACCTTAAGCTCATGCGCGGCGCACAGCAGGGGTTGACCGCTGATGGTGGGAAGCCGCAGGGGGGCGGCGAGGCGGGTTACCCGCAGCAATATTTTCCGCCGCAACAACAACAGCAGGTGCAGCAGCCACATTTACAATTGGCCGGAATACGACAGCAGATTCAACGACAACAGCTACAGCAGAGCCAACAGCAGCACCACCATCACCATCATCATCACCACCAGCAGCAGCAGCAGCAGTGGAAATTGGATCATGCCCAATCCCCCGTATTTCTTCTCCCGCCGCGTTTCGAGCCGTCTCAGGACCCACTGACCTCGTTCCAAGTCGCGCACCTCCCCGCGTCGCCCCCTCCAGCGTGTCTCCCGCCGCCCCAAGCGCCGCTCTTCCCGCCCCCAATCGCTCGGGAACTCGATCTCGCCTCGCCTCATTCACCTCTCGCAGAGGCCGCCCAGCAGATCGCGGCGCTGCAGCAGCAGCTGCTGACGGAGCGCGTTTCACTTGAACAGAATCTGGCGCGGCTTCGTCAGGAAGCGCGGGAGGCGGAGGCGGCAGCAGCGCAGCAGGCGCGACTGGAGCTAGAGGCCGCATTGGCTGAAGCGTCCGGAAAGGCGGCAGCGGCAACAGCAGAAGCGGCAGCAGAAGCGGAAAAAGCAGGTGCGAGAGCAGCAGCAGCGGAAGCAGCAGCAGCGGCGGCTGAGGCGCAGCAGGCGCGGCTTGAAGCGGAGGTAGCGGCGATGGAGGGGCGAGTGGGGGCGCTGCGGAAGCAGGCGGGGGCGGAGAGGGAGGGTAGGGTGGCGACGGCGGCGCAGCAGGCGCGGCTGGGGGCGGAGGTGGCGGCGATGGAGGCGCGAGTGGGGGAGCTAAGGGAGCGGGCGGAGGTGGAGAGGGAGGGGAGGGTGGCGGCGAATAGGGAGGTGACACGTGTGGTTGAGGAACTGAGGCGGGCGGAAGAGCGTGTGGCAGCATGCGAGCAAGAAAAGCAGACGCTGAGAGGTGAGAGGTGAGGGGTGAGGGGTGAGGGGTGGGGGGTGGGAGGTGGGATGTGGGAGGTGAGGGGTGGGAGGTGCTGTCAGTGTACGGTCGAACAATATTTCTTGCTTTCCCTTCTCCCCTTCCCCGCTTTCCCTTCCCTCCTTCCCCCTTCCCCTGTTCCCTCATCCCCCCCGCTCCCCACTGCCATCCCCAGCCCCTCCGTCGCTGCTGCCCTTCCGAACCCAACTCTTCCTCTGCCCTCCCAAACCCCTCCGTGCAGACGAGGCAGCAGTGCTGGCGCAACACGAACTGGGCCTCAGAGCTGCGCTGGTGTGAAACACGGGCGTGCCGCCGTGTGTCCTCCCTCCCTCCCCATCCCTTGCTTCCATTGCCCCCTCACACCCCTCCGTGCAGACGAGGCAGCATTGCTGGCGCAACAGGCAGTGGGCCTCAGAGCTGCGCTGGTGTGAAACATGGGCGTGCCGCCCTATGGCAGCAGCATCGGAGCGTATGTAACCTACCTATGGCACCACCACCCGGTGTTCGATCTCCCCACCCACTTGCTTCCATCCCCCCCTCCCCCCCCCCCTCCCCACTAGTAGAGGAGGCGGCAGCGCTGGCGCAACAGGCGCTCGACCTCAGAGCTGCGTTGCAAGCAGCAGAGGCGGAGAGGAGTATTTGAGTCGACTCAAAATGCGCTGCCCTCCCCAACCCCCAACCATGCGTGCAGAGGAAGCGGCAGCGCTGGCGCAACAGGCACTCGACCTGAAAGACGCTCTGCAAGCAGCAGAGGCGGAGAGGGGGAGAGTTGCTGCAGCGGCTGCTGCTGCTGAGAGCGAGAGGGATGAACTGAGACGAGGGGTGGTTGAGGTGAGGCGAGAGGTGGATGAGGTGACGATACTACAGGTGAAGGAGGTTCAGATGCTGCAGAGGGAGAGGGACGAGGCGAGGCGAGAACTGAAGGAGGCGAGGAGGGAGTTGGATGAAGTGCGATTACTGCAGGTGGAGGAGGTGCTGCCGCTGCAGAGGGAGAGGGACGAGGTGAGGCGAGAAAGGGACGAGGCAAGGAGTGAAAGGGACGAGGTGAGGCGAGAGTTAGAGGAGGTGAGGAGGGAGCTTGATGAAGTGAGATCATTGCAGGTGGAGGAGGCGCAGGTGCTGCAGAGACAGAATCAGCAGCTGCCTTGCCAGATCCAGCAGCCTCAGCAGCAGCCGCAGCCGCCGCAGCAGCAGCATTCATCTCAGCAGCATGAGCAGCAGCAGCGGCAGCAGCATGAGCGCGTGGAGTGTCGGTTGGGCAGCCGCACGCATCATGTGCTGGTGGATCGCCGCTTGTTACACTTGCTCTCACCAGACGCTGCTCGGAGCAGCAGCAGCGGTGACGCAGCAAGGGCTGAGGGCACTGGAGCAGGGGGGAATGAGGCCGAGAGAGGAACTGGAGGAGAGAGCGAGAGAGGAATGGTAGCAACAGGAAGGGCAGCTGGGGTGGTGTGTGATTTGCTGGAGGCTGCAACAGCGGCTGTGGCAGCAGCAGTGGGGGACAGGCAGGCGAGCAGCGATGCGCTGGCTTTACTATCACAGGCACAGGTGATACTATCGAGGGTGATAGTACCAAATGCTGGCGATTCAGGGAGCTTCGGAAGTAGCAGAAGCAGTGCACACCCGTTAACCCCTTCATCCTCCTCTCCCTTTGGGCTTCCCTCCTCCTCGTCCTGTTCAAGCTCATCCTCTTTAAAGGATGCTGCGATATTGGCTGCAAGAGCAGAGAGGGAGCGGCTAGTGAGGAGATTGGAGGAGGTGGAGGCGCGATGGGAGAGGTCCCAGGACGAGCTCCGGAGGAGTTTGGGGGAGAAAGAGGAGCTTAAGAAGGAGTTGAGTGCGGTTCTGGGGAGTGTGGCAGAAGAACCGAGGGAGTGGGCGGAGAGGAGGGAAGAGGAGAGGAGGAAGAGTAATGGGGTGATGATGATGCTGGGTGTGGTGGAGAGAGGGAGGGAGGAAGCGGAGAGGAGGAGGAGGGATGCGGAGAGGAGGTGTGAGTGGATGGAGAGGAGGTTAAGGGAAGCAGAGAGAAGGCTGGAGGAGAGGGGGTTGGGGGTGGGCGCTGGGATGGGGATGGGGGTGGGAGCGGGGGTGGAGGTGAGTGGTAAGGTGGAAGGAGAGGGTGGGAAGTTAGTGGGGAAGGGTAAGGGGAGTGAGGGGAACGGGGCAAGTGTGGGAGGAGGTGGGGATGGGGGATGCGAGGGTGGGGGAGGAGACAGAGAAGGGGAGGTGATATCAGGGGAAGGGGAGAGGAAGTGGCATCAAGCAGCAGCGAAGCAGCAGCAAAGGCAGCTGAAAGGGCAGCAGCAGGCGGGGGAACGAGAGCAGCAGGTACGAGGGGAACAGCAGGTACGAGGGGAACAGCAGGCAGAGAAGATAGAAGGTAATGGGCAGGACAGAACGGAGGGCGCACAGCACGAGCAGCAGCAAGGGCTGGGGGGGCAGGAGAAGCATGAGGGGCAGGGGGGACGGAACCAGCAGTGGCAGCAGCAGCGGCAGGAGCAGGCAGAAGGGCAGCAACACGTGCAAGCGCGGAGCCGAATGGAGCGGGTGTCAGTGTGGGCCCAGCAAAGGTGGGTGTGGAGCGCAACACCAGGGATGTTGGGCAATCTGACATGTCTAATATATAGCACTCGCACTGATCATATTTATCACTGTTATCGTACTTTCCTTGCCTATCACATTTGTCACATTTTCCCTCAGGAGTTTCCATCATTGTCGATCGACCTGCCGCCATCCTGACTGCAAGCTCCACCACGGCCCTCGTTCTTCGCCCAATCCGCTTCTCCTGATGCTTCTCGTTCACCTCTTCCGTGTTCCCCCCAGGAGCCCGCACTACCGCCGAGAGTATCGCCACTATCAGGACCGGCAGCATCGAGGCTACCACGCGTCCCCAATGCCCTCCCCCTCTTCCTCCGCCTCTGGTCATGCTGGTGGTGCTTCCAATGCAGCTCCCTCTGCCTCTGCCGTTGCTCCTCCCCTTCCGACTATGTCCACTCCTTTTGCTGCACCTGTAGTTGCTGCAATCCCGTCTTCTACTGCTGCTGCTGCTGCTGCTACTTCTGTTGCTGCTGCTGAGGCTCAATCTTCGTTTTCTTCTGCTGAAGCTCCTTCTGTGCGACATGATCCACCCCTCCCTTCCACCCCTTCTGCACCATCCTCCCTCTTCTCCTCCTCTTTACTCACCTCTCTTATTGACTGCGTACCTGGCAGCGGCAGTAGCAGCAGCAGAATGAGCCCACCGCACAGCAGAGAGCTGAACCGCACACGCAGCAGCGTTACTGATGCAGCTGGTGACTGGGGTGCCACAGCAGGCAGGGCAGCTGAGGAATGGGTCAGCGAAAGCAGGGCAGTTGAGGAATGGGTCAGGAAAAGCAGGAGAGGTGGAGATTGGGAGGGTAGTGAAGGCAGGGGAAGCATCACTGCGAGCGACAGGAGGGATCAGCTCACTCACACACACACTGTCTCCTCGTCCCCGGCTTACAGCATCCTCAATCTCTCTTCTTTCATCCGCTCCCCCAATGGGTTGATGGACGGTGGGATGGTTCTTAGCTATCAAAAGGTGGAGGGCAGTGAGAGGGCCTTGAGGTTCCACCCTTCTGGCAGCAGCAGCAGCAGCAGCTTGAGGCACCACAGCAGTGGGAACGCCCCACCATCTCCCCTCACCTCTCAGCAGCACCTGTCCTCTGCTTCTGCTGGTGTGATGCCTGGTGCTTCTGGGCCTGGTGCTTCTGGTACTGTTGCTGCTGGTGCCTCTGTTGGGAACACCAGCACAAGCAGCAGCGGTTGCGATGTTAAAATTCCTACACACATCGCCCTCTCTCACTCTGGGTCCATTTCTGAGACCAGCTCGGTCCGGCAAGGCAACAGGGTAGGTAGAGAGAGGGCACACATGCATGGGGGGCACAGTGGTGTAAGAGGGGGAGAAGGGTTGGAGGCAGCTGATTGGCTGTCAGAGCTCTCTGATAACACGAGCATGGATGAGGTTGATCAAATACTGGCTCAGATGGGGCTCAGATTGGGGGAGGCGAGCGCGGGGGAAGGAAAGGTTGCAGGAGGGCCGGAGGCAGATGGCATGAGAGGGGTTTATGAGGTTGGGGTGAGGAGTGCAGGGGAGCATGCTAAGGAGAGATTGCGGTATGAGCAAAGGCAGCTGAGGAGAATGATTAGGAAAGGGGCAGGGAGTCCAATGCAGTTTGGGGATACAATGAGGTTTGGGAGAGGGAACGAGAGTGGAGGCGAGTTGACGCCGAAGTCAATTGACCCTCTCAAGATCCAGTCATCATCACAGCATGCAAGAGATGCTACGATTCTGTATCAATAATAATGCATTGTTGAATGGAGCTACCTTATCATGCAATCATAGTACCAGTACCACACATTGAATGTCTGTTAAAATAAGGATGCCGAAAATCACCCAACTGAATTCGAGCAATTGCTCTGGAAGCTAGAGTCAACTTCCCATATGCTTTGCCCGCTTTCCTGAGTCCAACTGAGCATAGCTGATCTTGGATCCATTGTCCATGGAAACCTGGACCACAAAATCAGCAAACGTCTGAAAGGCCCGATTGTGGCTCACACAAAGAACCTGCCCTTTTTTTGCGAGCTCGCTCTGCACAAGAGCGCCAACCCTGCTCTGATTCTCCTCATCAAGGGCAGCATCCACCTCGTCCATCAGGTACACAAAGTTTTGGCTGCACTGGGCAATTGCCAGAACCAGTGCAACACTCAAAAGAGTTCGTTGCCCACCTGCAACATACACACGCCAGTCACAACTCAGCAGGATAACAATACATCAATCATTGGGTCACTTGGAAGATGCGTCTGCATACCAGAGAGCTGACTGAGGTTTGTGTTCCAAGATGGTGCAGAATCCTCTGATGCAGGACTGTTACAAAAGGCAATCATAATGCCATCTTCAACAGTTTCTCCAAGTTGAATGAGATTGACAGACTTGTTTGGAAGGAGATGGAGGCATAGGTTCTGAAATGAAGTCTTCACTCGAGTGTAAGTGTCCCTGTTGACCATTAGCACCTGGACGAACACGATCACGGATTTTCAAGTGCTCCAAATAAACATGGACAAAAAAGGAGATGCAATATGCCAGAATGGAAAATGGGGATATGCAGGAGAGGAGCTGGAGAGTTTAAAGTTTTTTTGAAAGGGAATGCCTTTGACTTGGCGCGTGATATTCCTTCCTTCAAAACTTTCATAGAGTTCACGATCGATGCTGCGCGGTCCTTGAACATCTTCAGGGTGGATATCCGTGTGCCAAAGGCATCCCTCTCTTGGTCTGACAGCTTTGCATGCTTGAGCCTGACATGAAAGAACACAATAAGAAACATTATAACAAATTTTCCATGCTTGAGGTATGAATCACTTACTTTGAAAGGCGGCAAAGAAGAGCTTTCCACTCTGCTCCAGGCTCCAGTGTCTCAGTGCTATCCAGGTCCATGTCATCTGAATTCGATAAATGTTCCTCCTCTGTATTGGCCAGCAGCTCCGATTCCTGCAAATGCAGCCAGAAATTGCATGAGTGTTACAAAATCAGGTAAAAAAATGTGACACCAAGAACTTACCAGGACTTTCTCCACCTCTGATATCCTTTCTCTTGCCTCTGCAATTCCTCCTTGTACGTTCTTCAGATCTGAATTGAGGCTTAGCATTTGATCACGGAGCTTGCTGTGTTGTGTTTCCAGAATTTCAATGTTGGTCAAAATCCCTGCCAGCTTCGCCTTCCGTACTTCCCTCTCACACTTTGACTTGTGCATATCTCCCTCAATATTCGCAATCTGGCACTTGATGGTCTTCTGGTGTTGATGGAGGTTTCCCATCTTTTCCTCCAGATCTTGCACACTGGTGGCATCCATTGCCTCCTCTATCACTAATTTCTCATCTCTGAGCTTTGCAACCTTCATTGTCAGCATATTCAGTCTTGACTCAATATCTTGAGCAGCTGAGAGTATTTTTGTCCTCCAAGCGGCAAAGGTACCAGCCGAATCAACTGGGCCAGCATTCAGTAGCTTTCGAAGTTGTGCTACCACTATCTCTTTTGCTTCCACTTTCCCTTCCACTGCCACAAGGGCATCTTGAGCGTCAACGAATGCCAGCTTAGCTTGTTCACGAGAATCAAGCAGGAGCTTTTCCTGAAATTTGAGGTGCAATGTAAGCCATTTGTAAATCATTTGACAGAAACTTGAAGAACGGACATACCTTTCTGTCCAGTGCTCTCATCTCCCCTGAAATGCCATCAAGCCTCAATAGGTTTTGTTGCACCCGCTCAATCTCCGACTCAAGGCTCTTGATTGCCTGCAAATGAGGTGACAATGACAACATGAAACAAACTCACTTTGCTAAGATCAAACAAACTGTATATCACCGAGATTATCATCACCTGGACAGACTGTACTATGCACAATTCTGTGCTCTTGACCTGGTTTTGAACCCTGTCGTGTTCAAACTTGGTCACCATCACCCGGGGAGTTCTGCTACCTCTCCAACCGCCAGAAAGAAAGCCTCGTTTGTGAACTTTTCCATCAAGTGTCACACTCCGAATGCCGTGATTTAAGGCAAGGTCAGCTGCCACAGTGTCGTCCATTGCAATAATAAAGCCGCTGAAAAGCTTTGCAAGTGCTGGAAGAAAGCGAGGATCAAACTCGAGTAAGTCAAGAGGAAGAACCACGGATCCTTCCTCAAGCCTCTCTTTCACAAACGAATGATCCTGCCTTCTGTCATCCACAACAAGGGATCCCAGAGGCCAGATGCGATTAAACACGCTTGGATGCCTGAGATCCTCCCACAGATCCAGAAGGGACTTTGCGTCGTGCATATTCTCCACAATGCAAGTGGAGCTGATCTGACCTGCAACTTCATGGGGTTAAACCAATGGGAACCATATGCATATGCAGGAATTTGGCTTCAACAAAGCATGCGTGAACCCACCTGCAATGACATCCAAGGCTGTGAGAAACTTGGCACAACCGACTCTTTGATCTGTCTTGAAACGGAAAACTGAGTGCAATGGCCAAGCAGGGAACTTCAAATCCGCGGGTTCCAGACTTCCAAGCTGTGCCTTCAAGACTTCGAGCTGAGTCCTTAGGGCAGCTTCCTTTCTCTTCATGGAATAATGCTCTTGACTCTGCCTCTGTGACTCTGCTTGCAGATCTCGCAGCAGAGATAACAACTCTTCCCTTGACTTGCACCTTGACTTCTCCTCCCCCACAGCCGCAATAGATTCTCTCGTAAGACCAAGCTCACTCTCAACTTCAGCGAGTGCGTCTCCACATTGATCAAATGACGACTGCTTGTGTTTGATTACCTGCTTCAAATCAACCAGCTGTATTTCCTCCTCTCTCAGAAAATCGGATGGATGCTTTCCAGCTGATTGTAGCTCCAGCTCATCAAACCGCGCAACTGTATCCTGATGCTCCTTGAGCTGATGAGTAAGGAGCAATTTCTCATGAAGAGTCGCTTGTACATCAGAATCAAGCTTTGCCACAGCCGAATGAAAGTCTTGTGCAGCTGCTTGCTGTAGCTGGAACACACGAATCATTTCCTCATTCTCCGCAAATTTACAGAGTGCTTCAGCGTGCCGTTTCTCGTGAATGTCCTCGTACACTCCCTCCAACGCCTTGAGCTCACGCACACTGGCTAGCTTTTGATCACGTTCCTTGAGAACAGTCTGAATGCTATCATGAACTGTGTTCAACTTCTGTTGAACCGTTTTGGCGTCGTTTTCCAAAGAAATCCTTCTTTGTGACTCGTGGATTTGTATCGCCCTCCCAAGTTCACCAAGCCTCTTGCACGTCTGAAGTGATAACAGTTAAGATCGAAGTCACCGAGGTTGCAAACTAGAAGCAGAAGAGATGTGACACACCTTCCATCGTTCATGAGCTTCTTTTGTCTTGGCCGTATCAGCAGCTGTTGCTCTTTCAAGCAAGCAGGTATTTGTGTTTATTTCGTGCAGACTTCTCTCCGTCCTTGACACAACCTCTTCAGCCTTCTCCACCTCGGCTTC